AGGAGAAATGCCGATGTTTAAAGCTCATGCGTGGCTGCGCGGCACTATTGAATGGGCCTCCTATCTCCCCGGGACAATCATTGCGGGAAGTTGTTGCCAAATTCGGCTAGGTTTCGCCGAGTGTACTGCAAAGCTCGGAATTGACATCGTGCTCCACCAGTTCCAAAAAGAATCCAGCTCTTAGGTAAATGAAGATCTTTATCTGATTGGACTGACGATATTGCTTCTGGTTATGCGAAGTACCTATGGCGGTGGGTTTTGTCCGTGCAAGGCCTTTACAGATCAAACCTGACGTACCTAGTCCTCGGGACGAAGTTACCCACCTACAAAATGGGCCTTCTCAAGATCTGGGAGGATCGTGAAAAGCGTCTCGGGGTGGACGACGGAGAGCCAGCAAGTCCGTACGAAGCGGTCCAAACCTTACTAAATTGCGATGGCCAGAGCTGCAAAGCCGATTACCACGATAGCGTCGTAGTTGATGCCACCGGTTACGGTTGGCTCCATCGTTATAAACGCATCATTAACGGGCAATCCCCTTTCCAAGCTCATTTCGACGACCATTTGTTCCGGTCAGTAGCTATTCGTAAATCGCCATTCCTCTCCCATGCGCTTCCAGTGCTACGATCCATCGGGAGAGAAGTCAAGCAGCAGCGACAAAGATGAAAAGTCTTCTATCTGATGCGGTAATCGCGGCAATCTGGGTCGGAATAGCTGCAACCCAACACACTTTCTTCCCGAACGAATTTCAGTCTGGAGATGTTCACGTGGACTTCGCGTCGACTAGTCCCGACGGCCCACGACTCAACCCAGGCCCGAATGCAACGACATATGATTGGTATGGAAGAAGCCCCTGGCCTCAAGATCCCACCCCCTTTCCCCCAGTCATCAAATCATACTGACAAATTGGTTGAAAAACAGGTGGTATTTTGACGCAGTCTCTACCTCATCGAACGAGTCGATATCGATCGTGTTCTTAATGGCCAGCTCGACGGCATTCCCCTCCTCCGACAGGGGCGGGCCGATGTCTGTCATCGTATCTGGCAGTTTCGCCAATGGTAGCGCATTCAGTCACACGATTCCTGCCTCCGATGGAGCGCTCATAATCGAGAGTGAAGACAAGGACGAGATCAACGGGGCATGGGGAGGCGCCAATGCCTCCTTTGGCGGTCGAGGCCTGGACTCGAACGAAACATCGTTCAGGGTCATTCTCAACTCTCCCGAATATGGAGTCTACGGAAGTTTATCATTGAGATCGGTTCGTTCGGATTGTTGAAATTCTTCCCGAATCTCCCATTGCTAATCTTTTTATAGACTTTGCCGTCAAGATACCCCTGTGGATTGAATGCGCCCGGCGCTGAGCAACAGGTTCTTCCCGGTGTTGGCTGGTCGAATCCACAGCCGGATGCTTCCGCGATTGCTAACTTCAAGCTTGGAGATGCGACTCTGAACTTTTCTGGATCTGGTTATCATGACAAGAACTGGGGTTCAGTGCCATTCACACAAGCAGTGGGCTCGTGGCATTGGGGACATGCGCGCCTGGGCCCGTACTCCATGGTCTGGATCGATGCGCGTTCCCCCACCGGCGATATCCACCGGTCGGGTTTTGTATCGAAGAATGGGACCGTCCTACTCTCCAGCTGTGCATCTGATTCTGTGGGGGTCACCACGTGGGAAGATGGACTAGCAAATTCGACATCTGGGCTGTTGGTTGAATTTGGGTTGACTGACGGAGGTCACCTGACTCTGAACATTACTACCTCTGTAATGATTGTCCACAGTCCTTTTTATCTCAGATATCTCGGCGTTGCAAGCGGCCGTGTCGGCGACGAGTTTCAGCTTGACGGTGTTGCCTCACTGGACGCTTTTAACTTTTCTGTTTCATCATAACATGAGAGGCTAAGGAGATCCGACGACTTCGGCTTGCAACCAGATTGTTTCCTCATATGAACGCACTGGCAGAAACAAGAACAATAAACGTCATGGGGTTGGCTAAAACCTCCAGCATCATCCCTGCCCTCAAGAGTCAGTGCCGTCGAAGCCATGATGGACGATTGTGAGCCGCTGACCGTGCGGCCCTTGCCTTTGCTTACTCCATGCCCATTCACATCGAGTCGATCATACAAAGTTGAATCATTGTAAATATGCTGCAAACATCCCCGCATCGAATGCTGCCATCGAAGTAACATCACCACGTGGTAGTAACGAATAGAACTTCCACTACCCTCCTCGGCTCGATACTGCAACCTCAGCGCTCTTTGGCGCTCTTTTCTGTCGTTCTCGCTCTGTGGTCGTCGTGCCTGAGAGATGTCGAACCCAAAGGAACCGTCGCCGGGCGATAAAGTTATCGACGACTCGAACAAGCGCGCTCTCGAAACCGCCGTCACTGGAACGCCGTCTGAGGCTTCAACGAGCGATGATGAAAAGGCGAAGTCGGGAGACGCGCTGGTGAATGATGATGTTGAATATGTCAACGGATATCCGGTCATTCGCACTGGTAATTCATCCTCCAAGAAGGTTTCATGGTCGCTAGCTCTAACATGATCAAACAGGAGCTGATGTGTCCAAGTTCGTGGTGTCGGTTCGCGACGATGGCGACCCTGCCTTGACGTTTCGCTCCATCGTCCTCGGTACCGCGCTTACCGCCCTCGCCAGTGTTATCACCATGCTCTATACGTTCAAGCCGACTCAAATGGCAGTTTCTGCAGTTTTCCTCCAACTCTTGGTGTTCATATTTGGCGAGGCCTGGGCTCTAGCAACGCCGCGGCCGGATCGTTTTAAATGGCCTCTGCTGCAGAAAGTCCTTCGATTTACCAACTCCGGTCAACCATTTGGCATAAAAGAACACGTTGTTGCATCTCTTATCGCGTCTTCCGGCAATAATGGATTATCCGGAATCGAGATCTACGCTGTGGAGCGCCTCTTCTATGACCGCGAAGTCACGGCCACTACTGTGGTACTAGCCACCTTCTCAATCTCTCTCTGCGGCTTCGTCCTCGCCGGCCTTCTTCGCCCATTGGTCGTGTACCCGGGCGAAATGGTCTACTGGGGCACTCTTCCCCAGGTAGTCCTCTTCCAAAACCTGCATTTCGACCGCATCGCCAACCGCGACCGCCTAAGGAAGTTCGGCATTGCTATGGGAATCGCCGCTGTGTGGGAGCTTTTTCCAGCTTACATGGTGACCTGGTTTGGCGGCATTTCCATCTTCTGCCTCGCGTCCATGGGCGCCCCGACCAACACTCGCACCGTCATCACAACCATCTTCGGCGGAGCATCTTCGAACGAAGGCATGGGCTTGCTCAACTTCTCGCTGGATTGGCAGTATATTCAAAGCACGTATCTTGCACTCCCTTTTAAACAACAGGTAAATTCGTGGATCGGTTATGCGATATGGTACGTCGTTATGCCAGCACTCTTCTACAGCAACACCTGGAGTGCCAAGTCGTTCCCCTTTATGTCTACATCCCTCTTCGCCAATAACGGCACTAGATGGGCGACGACGTCGGTACTGAACGACCGTGGGATCATCGACTACGGCAAGGTCGACCAGGCTGGCCTGCCGAATTTATCGTCTAGTACGGTCTGGGGGTATCTCACTGCCAGCATGGCGATTGGCGCGCTGATTACCCACGTCATCATCTTCTATGGAAAAGATATGAAAGAAGCGTGGAAGAGTGCTCGTACCCAGACCCAACCTGACATTCACTACCAGGCAATGCTGAAATATAAAGAGACTCCAATGTGGTGGTACCTCGCTCTCTTCGGCCTCACCTTCATTGCCGGTTTGGTTGTCAACATCATCGGCGAGACAACGTTGCCTTGGTGGGGCTACATAGTCGCACTGCTTCTTGGAACCATCATCGCACCATTTTCATGCATTCTCAACGGCCTCTTCGGAAGCGGAGTCAGCACCAACCAACTCTCCAAAATGTTTGCTGGCTTTCTCCACCCTGGTAGACCCCTCGCAAACCTCTTCTTCGCAAGTTGGTCCCATCAAGTTATCCTTCTCGCCGTAAGCCTCGCCAACTGGCTGAAGGTGGGTCAATACACCAAGGTCCCGCATCGCGTTATGTTCTGCACCCAGATCTACGGCACTTTGCTTGGTGCTGCGTTGAACTACGCTGTGATGACCACAATTGTGACGAACCAACGGGAGGTTCTCCTCGACCCCATTGGTACTATCGTCTGGAGCGGTTCTTCTATGCAGAGTCTGAACTCTCAAGCCATTACGTGGGCGCTCGCCAAAGAGATGTACGGCCCATCAGGTCGCTATTTCGTCGTTCCCCTAGGGCTCCTCATCGGCGCAGCCCTCCCGATTCTGCACTGGGGTCTAATCAAACTGGTTCCTCGAATCAAGGATTGGCCAATCAACACAACCATTATTATTGCATCTGCTGGCGGTACATTCTTCGGTAATACGTCGTGGATCTGGTCTTCCATCGCAGTGGGCGTCTTCTCTCAGTTCTGGCTCCGTCGCAGAAGACCGCGAATCTACAACAAGTACAACTATCTCATTGGGGCTGCGCTGGACGGAGGATCCCAACTTATCATCTTCATCCTGTCGTTCGCAGTGTTTGGTGCAAGTGGCAACCCGCACCCGTTCCCAACGTGGTGGGGAAATCCGTCGGATACCAACCCGGATCACTGCTTGTGAGATGGCAACACCGGCATGATATATTTCAAGAGGCATGACTCTCACATGCTATGTATAATTAGGCCTCTGTACAAAATGTTTCTAATAGATACTCTTAAGTTGCACGGTTTCATCCAAGAGACAATGGCGTGTGTACGCAAAGTCAAGCATGATGATAGCAAGTGACGTTGGCAGACGCGACTACAATGCGTTGCAGCATAGTAGCCGCAGCTAGAAAACGGGAAGGGTATTGGATCCATTTACAAGGAGGACTAATCCTTAGGGCCCTGAAGAGAGAGAGAAATGTCTTCACAGCTAGCTGGGAGACGTGCAGCTTGAAGGTAGTCAAAACGTTGATCCTCACAACAACGGGCGCTTGGTCTAGGGGTATGATTTTCGCTTCGCATCCTCGTCGATAGCGGCGTTGCGCCTTGTGAAAGGTCGTGGGTTCAATTCCCACAGTGTCCATTGTTTTTGCCGATCACGGCTAGCGCTCACTCGTTGTTATACCACGCCGTCAATTCTGCATTAAATCCAGGGAATGTGAGTGCAAATAAGGTGGTACCCACACACAGGCTGGCTGGTTCAGCAGGCGCACGGTGTTTATGTTCATGTCCCACAGGGACGAGACCTTATTAACCCTGTTAATTAGGGTCACGTTCCGCAGTGTAGGTTGACATTTTCCTCGGTTGTGGTATTATTAGATTAAACAATCTGAACATGGGTTATTCATGTGCACCCGTAACTAATTCCACGTCGAACACAAACATACCCTCGTTTATTTCCCCTGTTCCAGCATAAAGGGACAACGCTTGCAAATTACAACACCCTTAAAAAGCCTCGCAGATTACTTATTACTTATGGAGTGATCGGTTCGTACTGTTAATATCTTCGACTGGAGTCTGCATATTAAATAAGGAACCTGTTTTTCCCTTCTGCTCTGCTGATGGCCAACGCCTCAGCTACAGAAAACCGGGTCTGCTGTAAACCCGCACGGTGGACTCCGTTGAGATTCTTCACTAGCGTAATCTGGTAACGACCCATGGTTCCTTGCCGGAATATGATGGTCGCCATCGCAAGGAAATATTCCCAGATCTAAGTTCATGAGCATATTTTGTTGTAGGTAACGCGGAGTGATTCTTGTGGGAGACTTACCCGGTATGACTTTTCACCGTACTTGGCTATGATCTTGTCCCGATTGCCCGTCCAGTTCTTATACCACCTCCATAAGGTGGCTGAATAATGTTGCCCGATGTTGTCGAGGCTGTCGTGTGTAAGCATGACTTTTGGCCCAGTGAACAAGATAATATCAGAATGCCGTACCTTTGAATCTCAAATCCGGCCTCCTCGAGAGAAGTCACGTACTTCCCCAAGTCCCACCCCATCGTCATCCAAGGAATGACATGCCTCTTCAAGAACAACCCCCAGACAAGATCCTCGTATTGCCACGCGCGTCTTGACGCGGTGATCTCGACATGAAACACCCCATCATCCGCGAGCATCTCATAGCAGCGCTCAAAGAATCCGCTCACTTTCAGATCCTCCTGCCCAGATGACTGCACACATACGATCTTGTCATATTTTTCGTCGGGACCCTCATACGCTCGACTGCATATACGGCTTTGGGTTTCAGATATCTCTGCAGATTGGAGGCGCCAGTTTCCCAAATCAGCTTGATACGGGTCAATCGTCAGCCCTGTCGCGAGGGCACCGTAATTGACGCTGGCGAAGGTTACGAGGGAGCCCCATCCGCAACCGATGTCGAGAAGCCGATCTCCTGATGTTAGGTTGATCTTTTCGCAGACCGCAGCAAGCTTGTTGTCTTGGAGCTCTTCAAGCGATTCCTCGATGCTCATGTCCGATATGATGCCTGAAGTGTAAGCCAATCGTGGGCCAAGAAACCAAGAGTAAAAGTCGCTGCCGCGTTGATCTTCTACGAGTGGTCTTTCTCCTACAGGGCAAGTCAGTCAGTGCTCTGGTATTCAAGGCCCTCGCAAAGTTTCAACCGACTCACTTGGAAACAGATAGGACTCAACCGCTTCGGGAAGCCACGTCAACACCACAAACCTCGTCATCTCCCTCGTAAACCTCCAACTCGCCCAGTCATATCTCCATTCCAGGATTTCCAACGCATCACCGTTGAAATCCACCTCACCGTCAAAGTACATCTTCGTGAAAGTAACCATTGGTATCTTACGCCTTCCCCAGTATCTGTCTCGGTCGTGGTCCTTTGTGAAGGTAAGGTATTCTTCGATTGGCCGGCCCGGATTCCGAATTTTCTCGTTGATCGGAGGCGAGATGCACGATGCAACGTACCAGAATGCAGCGACAACGGGCACCAGGAGGGTGAATAGAGCGATTACCAAGGTGTTGTATCCTCCACATAATTTCCATGTCGCAAAAGCAGGAGCGAGGAAGAGGAGGAGCACGAGGTGCTTGAAGGAAAAGGTATCGCGGCCTGCGCCATCGGCTGGAAGCGCTGCGTGCTTGACAGCGGGATACAGGGACTGTCGCGACGTTAGGCTATGATTAACAGCAACCCATTTTGCCACACGAGATAAGAAGACCTACCAAAGTCTCCGCGCTGAAATCGAAACCCTTTGGAGAGGCTCCAGCGGACGCCGGGGGCGTCGGGACCATACCGTCATCATCCATTTCTGCGAGATGAAATGACACTGATGATCGTACAACTGGCCGGAGGAAATGGCTTGTAGTAGTCGAAAGATAAGAGTCGTAGTTCTGTCGGGGGTTAAGGCCTCCATGATGACGCGGGGTCGGGATGAGCAGATCAGCAGCTTGGGCAGCTGGTGTTGCAACCTGAAAATGCCTGGGCCACGTCAAATCAGGTGATTGGAATTTTTCTGTGACTTTTCCTGTGCCTGTGCACTTCGGGATTGGGGTACTGTCGAATGTACGTGGTTCTGACAGCTTCTGCCGCAACGTGACTGGACGCCCATTCTCCGACCGACGGGAGGCGCAAGAGAGTGACCAAAAGATAAGCGTATGAAGCAACCATTGGCCTATACGAATATCCCATCGGAATTATGAGACATCATGAGATATGAATGTGTATGACTAGGTGCACTGATTATCGAAGATGCGTCGCCTACCTGAGCAAGATTTGAATTTGTTGATGATATATGAATATGATCCCGACTGCAAAAGAGTACTGTTTATTCTAAGGCTGTTATAAATAGAACACCGAGTTGCTATGATATCTCGAATTCTATCAGCTCTACTAAGACTCGTTAGGTCCCAGAGCACATTCCCCCATCTAGTGAAGTTGGCCCCATTCCTAAAGGGGTTTTCGAGGCGATCATCCGTGTAACAAAAAGCCTCAAGCCAGACTTGCCTCCTTCGATGCGCCAAACCGCCGGCATCTCCACTAGCTCAGCGTAATATCTCATAATATACCCATTGCTCACACTCTAGCTATCCACTAACACCCGGATCCCCTGAGTTCCAGGCCATGGAGACAAGATTGTGTTCTCTGCATAAAATGCCACATCTCGTACAGAAGTATCAACCAGTCGTAGCTTATGTCTTCGGATCAGTGTGGCGAACCCGATATACAGCTCTGAGTACGCCAGATTCAGGCCGAGGCACATTCGCGTGCCGCGACCGAAGACGGTCATGTAGTGGGTGAGCGGGTGTATACCGTCTGGTCCGCGGGGGTCGCCAAGCCAGCGTTCCGGTCGGAAGGCGGTCGGCTCTGGGAAGACGCGCTCATTCATCAGCATATGGTATTGATCCATGCTGACGGCGACATTGGCCGGGATGACGGTGCCATTGTAAACCCAGGGGTTTGCTGGGTTACGGTTGATGCGGACTAAACGTTCGATGACGCCCATGCCCATTCTCAAAGCTACAGATGAATCAGCATGACGGATTTCCATGTGAAGAAGATGATGAGGCTCTCGAGGGACAGGTAAACGTACTCTCCTTGACGATCACGGTGAGGTAGGGGAGTGTTTCCAAGGTGGCCCACGGGGGAATCTGAGTCGCGTCTGGTATGGCGATTGTCAGCTCAGATTGCAACTTGGCGTAGACTTCAGGATTGTGCAAGATGTAGAAGCTGCCCAGAGCAAGCGTCCAGGCAGTGGTCTCAAGCCCGGCACCAATAAGTGATTCGGCCTCATGCTGCATGCGCTTGTGTTCTAGTTCCTCACTAGGGAGGCTGGAGGCTAGCATCTCATGAAAAACAGTTGCGTGGCCGGTCTGCCCCAGGCGCGGCTTCTCATTGCCCCCGGTAGCTTGATGGCTAGCGCGAATAGTGGCGGTTTGTCGGGACATTTCCTGGTGATTCAAGGTCAGAATTCAGTAGACCAAGGGTAAATAGAAGCGAAGAACTTTTGTGACTCACCTCACGGTACGCGATGATGGGCTCAAACGGTGGGAAAAGCCGTTTCGCCAGCCAATATGGGAGACTATCAGTTGCCGCCCCCAGGATTGGCAGGTAGCGGGTGACATGGGACCAGTTGGTCACACGCGTGATGGCTCCCGTGAAAGGAGCGCGAAACTCTGGGGACAGATGTAGATCTAACGGCGAACCAAAGACGAGGTCCATGATGTTGTCGGCGGCGAAGCAGCGCCAGACGTCATGGAGATTGAGCACACGCCCGGTACCAGCATATTCGGTTGTGAGACGACGCGAGATAGTGTTCATCAATGCTTGAATGTCGCCCGTCTGCTCGCGCACCTTGGACTTTGCAAAGAAGGGGCTGATGGCTGCGCGGCGTATCTTGTGTAGCTCATGGCGGGCTGTGCTGAACGTCGCGCCTGGGATCCCGAAGCGGTTCTCGAGCCGTTTGAGCTTATCATATGGCTTGCTTGTCGGATACAGCGTGTCGAAGAAGTCAGGATCGTCGATGTGCAGCTCATCGGGGTTGATGCGCACGATAGGTCCATATTTCTCGTGCATGCGTTTAATGGCGAAGGGGAACTGCCCACCGCCCTTAGGGACGAGATCGAAATATGCTTCGTACAGGCCGGTCAGGGCGGCCAGCTTCGGGCCAGGGAATTTGGCAATAGGGCTGAAGTAGAGTCGATAGATGCCGATCCATGTGATATACCCGATGACAATCACGAGAGCTGTTGCTGAAGCTGCGGCGGCAAAGCCTGAATCAGGCTGGAATACGTTGGCCAATGGCCTCCGACTCGAGTCGTTAAAGCCCTCCATCAATGTTGTGTCTATGGTCCTGTCCTAGCCGTCAAAGTCAAGATGATATTGTCTGAGTTAGTAGCTGATGTAAAGTTTCTGTCTGTTTTCCCAATGGCGATGTTTTGGACAACAGCTTCTCAACTAGACGGCAAGCCGCAGCGTGGGCCTAGGCATTTCCTAATTATTGTACATGATCAACATATTCAACATTGCGAGCGTAAGCGATGGCCTAAGGTAAGTCAGACTAAGCCCTATCATTCCCAAGTCATCAATTCACCTTCGGGACCAAAGTCATCATCGACTTTTG